GTGTGTGTGTGTGTGTGTGTGTGTGTGTGTGTGTGTGTGTGTGTGTGGTGTGTGTGTGGGTGTGTGTGAGTGAGTGTGTGTGTGTGTGTGTGTGTGAGTGAGTGAGGTGTGTGTGAGTGTGTGTGTGTGTGTGTGTGTGTGTGTGTGTGTGTGTGTGTGTGTGTCTCACACATAATCCTACAACCAACAGCTCACTTCCCCAGATATAGGAGGAGAAAGCGTTCCCTCCCTCTCCCTTAAATTTGTCTCCCCTATAACCCTTCTTCCTCCTATTCTCCTCATCCCTACATACGATTCCTATATCACCCCTATCCTCTTTCCTCCACCCCTCCTGACCCCACAGGAATTACTGGCTCAGGTGCTCTTAATCTGGAGAGAGAGAGAGAGAGAGAGAATGAGATTTTAGTGACAAGGCGATGAACTGTCAATCACTATATAACACCAGCGATAATTTAATTTCCGACACGGGCGATAACGAACAATAAAACGAAAAAATTAAACGCACCAAATTTATTAACGAAAATATATGAAGAAAAAAAAACTCAATAAATAAATAAAGTAAAACTACGACATCTATTAAAACGAAATTAATAAAAACTTTAAAATTAGGACGAAAATCAATGAATAACAGACACACATGAATATTCCTAAACGATAATATATGAACCGTTAAAAAATATTCAATCTTTAATCCATTTTTCTTTAATTTTCCTACAAACATTATATATATATTATCCTATTAATTTTGTACAGGACTTTAATTATATATTTTTTAACTTTTGTATCTAATGCTTTAAACTGTAACGTAATAAACTGTATCTTTATTTAGTACATCAATAGACTACAGAAAGTTTCAATATTATTTCAGTACATAATTAATCCTTCTCACTAGACGGGGGAAAATGGCCTCAATGAACACCTCACATAACACTGATAAACACACGTCTCTTACTACAGGAGGGAAGGGAGGGAGGGAACAGGAGGGAGGGGGGAACAGGAGGGAGGGGAACAGGAGGGAGGGGAACAGGAGGGAACAGGAGGGAGGGGGGAACAGGAGGAGACAGGAGGGAGGGAACAGGAGAGGGGAACAGGAAGGAGGAACAGGAAGAGGAGGGAACAGGAGGGAGGGCAGGAGGAGGGGGAACAGGAGGGAGGGGGGAACAGGGAGGGAGGGAACAGGAGGGAGAGAGGGAACAGGAGGGAGGGAGGAACAGGAGGGAGAGGGAACAGGAGGAGAGGGAACAGGAGGGAGGGGAACAGGAGGAAGGGAGAAACAGAATGGAAGGGGGAAACAGGAGGGAGAAAGGAACAGGAGGCAGGGAGGAACAGGAACAGGAGGGAAGAGAGGAACAAGAGAGAAGAGAGGAACAAGAAAGGTGGGAACAGGCGTGAAAAAGAGAGAAGGTAGGAACAAAGATAAAACAATAAAATCACTAGTTCTGGTTTCATTCTCTCATACTTGGTGTCTCGGAAAAATATATCGTCTTTATTTATTTATTATTATTATTTTTAGATTTTTGGGGTCGTGTGAAGGTTTGTAATACAGTAAGAACAGGTCTCCGGATAACATTACCGGACCATGGAAATTAACTTCGGATAACATTACCAGACCATATACATTTTAATTCGATAACTTACCAGACCATAGAAATTATCGGATAATATTACCAGACCATATACATTTTAATTCGGATAACATTACGGACCACTGCATTTTAATTCGATAACATTACCTGACCATAAAATTAACTTCGGATAATATTCCATTGCATTCGATAACATTACCGGACTATAAATTAAATTCGGATAACATTACCTGACCACAGAAATTTACTTCGGATAACAATACCAGACCATGGAAATTAACTTCGATAATACTGACCTGAAATTTATGGATAACATTACCTGACCATAGAAATTAACTTTCGATTCATTACATGACCACAAATTTACTTCGGATAACACCAGACCACAGAAATTAACTTCGGAAAACATTACCTGACCATAGAAATTAGTCGGATAACATTACGATAGAAATTAACTTCGGATAACATTACCAGACCATGGAAATTTACTTCGGATAACATTACCTAACCATGGAAATTAAATTCGGATAACATTACCTGACCACAGAAATTTACTTCGGATAACATTACCAGACCATGGAAATTAACTTCGGATAACATTACCTGACCACAGAAATTTACTTCGGATAACATTACCTGACCATAGAAATTAACTTCGGATTCATTACATGACCACAGAAATTTACTTCGGATAACATTACCAGACCACAGAAATTAACTTCGGAAAACATTACCTGACCACAGAAATTAACTTCGGATAACATAACCAGACCATAGAAATTAACGTCGGATAACATTACCTGACCATAGAAATTAACTCCGGATAACATTACCTGACCATAGAAATTAACTTCGGATAACATAACCAGACCATACAAATTAACGTCGGATAACATTACCAACCACAGAAATTAACTTCGGATAACATTACCAGACCACAGAAATTAACTTCGGATAACATTACCAGACCATAGAAATTAACGTCGGATAACTTTACCTGACCATAGAAATTAACTTCGGATAACATTACCTGACCATAGAAATTAACCTCAGATAACATTACCAGACCACAGAAATTAACTTCGGATAACATTACCAGACCATAGAAATTAACGTCGGATAACATTACCTGACCACAGAAATTAACTCCGGATAACATTACCAGACCATAGAAATTAACTCCGGATAACATTAACTGACCAAAGAAATTAACTCCGGATAACATTACCTGACCACAGAAATTAACTTCGGATAACTTTACCAGACCACAGAAATTAACGTCGGATAACATTACCTGACCATAGAAATTTTAAATTCGGATTACATCATGATCACAGAAATTAACTCTGGATAACATTACCTGACCATGGAAATTGACTTCGGATAACATTACCAGACCATAGAAATTAATGTCGGATAACATTACCAGACCACAGAAATTAACTTCGGATAACATTACCAGACCACAGAAATTAACTCCGGATAACATTACCAGACCATAAAAATTAACATAACTTTTCCGTCCTCTTGAATAATGACTAAAGTATTATAGTTATACACCAGTTATAATGACCGTTTATATTATACACCAGTTATAATGACCGTTTATATTATACACCAGTTATAATGACCGTTTATATTATACACCAGTTATAATGACCGTTTATATTATACACCATACTCTACTATATGATTGTGTATGTATATTTTCTTCCTTTCAATATCTTTAAACTTCTTCATTTATCATTCACGTACGGTTCAGATTATTTGTACGTACAGTTACGGAGAGAATTCCTTGAACACTCGGCAATAAGTGGAGAATGATTGGATTTTGTGTATCGTATTTTCTTATTTTTCTTTGTAGTGTGGATTTATTTTTTATTCTTGTTTTGTGGTTCGGGATAAAGGTAGATGCTGGATACTGCCAAGTGTTCGGGGAATTTTGTCCGTATTTGTACATTTAATTTTACATGAATGACTTGAGTTGAATGAGATCCCAAGAGCGCGGACGGTGAGTGAGAGAGACGACATAGCCACCGCTCACCATCACGTTAACGGGATGGGACACTACAGGATATAGCGGTACAATACTCTGATTCAGTTCTAACCTAACCTAACCTAACTTAACTTCACCAGGATGTTGTGTGACTTGAGGTATTGGTTCAGTCTTCCCCCGGCCGTCACATGACCACGCTCCTCATTAAGGAAATTTCGGGAAGTACGTCAGGCTGTCCTAGACCTTGTTAGTCCCAACTTAACCCAGTATTATTGGCACCCGGGTCTAATGTTTATATTCTGTGGTGAGGGTGGTGGTGAGGGTGGTGGTGGTGAGGGCGGTGGTGGTGGTGAGGCAGTGGTGAGGGCAGTGGTGGTGAGGGTGGTGTGGTGGTGAGGTGGTGGTGTTGAGGTGAGTTGGTGGTGGGGGCGGTGGTGGTGGTGAGGTGAGTGGTAGTGAGGGGTGGTGGTGGTGAGGGCAGTCTCTAGCCTTCTGAGGAATAATTATGTTGTTTTGTTTCCTACACAAATGTGAATGATTACGCGCACCTCACGCACACACACACACACACACACACACACACACACACACACACACACACACACACCTTTTCTTATGAAATCACATACCAAAATTAAATCACTAAAAACCTATTCAATAAATATATTAGGTCTTAGATGTAAGAGAAAATATTGGCTTACTGTGACAGAGTAACTCGTTTACCGCCACACTAACACATAATTCTCATTCATTATGATTTGTGCTGTTGATCTTGGTCGAGACAACCGAGTGATATAGCGGGTGGTGTGGCAAGTGTTGGTGAGCCACACCACCTGGTCTACCCCACCACACGCAGGGCGCCGTTCACCCTCTGCAGGGAGATAACACAGCCTCCCGCTACACGAGACCCGCGGCGGTGAGGGCGCGTCCAGTCCGCCTCTCTGGTAGCCGCTCTTACGCACAACACTACTTCACTAATTATCTTAACATTCTCTCTTCTCTAACTTCACTGCGACATCTCTCGTTATCACATTTTCGGACGGTAATTTTACGTTACGTTCACTGTTTCCTTCAGTAGCAACACTGGTCTTTACGGTCATCACGAGGTCGTCAGCCACTGGTCAATAAGAGCGCCGCACTCACCCGGACGAGACACTGGCCACAGGTGACCCAGGGGAGGTACCTCTGGCTGCCCTGTGTTGCTCGAAACCCAGGGACGAGGAACACTGACTCCCTGAACCTCAAGAGACCTGGGGCCAGGGCGCACTACCTTTCCCCGAGTCCTAGATGACCCGCTGCTGACCGAAGGGCGGTAGTACTGACTGCCTTGAGGTGCAGGTGACCTTGGAGGCCACACCACCGGGTGCCTCACGCCGCAGGTGACCAGACGGAGGGAAACATTATTTGCCACCACTTAC